GGAGCATAAGTGTTATGCTAATAATCATCATGTTAGTGGGAGCATGATAATTATGATAAGTATTGCAAGTTAGCAATGTTAATTATAGAAAACAAAAGTTTCAATTGGGAAAAGTTGTTTTGCTATAATTAAGGGAGAGGAAATTATACTTCATCTCAAATCTATAAGCTTAGATCGTGAGGTTTTAATCATTTAGTCAAGGAAATATATATGAATTTCATGTTGGAATGGCTCAACATAAGGAAATTCTGTATATGGGTCCATTATTTGCGTTCTAAAATTCGATTATGATTACGGCATCCCTTTTCATAATCTGAATTATGAGAACTTGGCAAATAGAAATGGAAATGTTATAGCAAAAGACTGGTTTAGTCTTTATGTGAGACATCATGAATCGTGTCCCATATGCTTCGGATATAGGATCGATTACATGTGCTATAGTTATCCTTTCTAAAAGTTTCCAAATGCCTGGGGCATTAAGAAGGGAAAAGGTTTAGAACTGGATATGACTAAAAGGATTAAACAATTGTCGAGGACAATCTAAGGTTTACCAAAGATTGGTTGCTCAAGGACAGTTGGAAGTATAGTGATAATTCTGGAAGGACCATATTGACATAATCTGTAAGGAGGCAACTCTTGTTCAGAAGTGATAGTCAAAATGAATCTGGAAATGTTTCAAAGTCAGAAATTTCAATCTGTGTAAGATTAAGGAAACTTAATGCAAGAAGGATGTTTCTAAGGAGTTGATCTCCTTTGGAATGGTCTATAATGGTTGTTGTCAAGTCTTTGACTTTGTGCATAATCATTACAAGAGGATCAATGCATATAAGTTTAGAATCTAACAGATTTCAGTAAATGGCATGAATTTGGAATTCTTGCATTTGCAGTAAGGATTTGGGAGTGTGAAAAGAGAATCATTGAAGTTATGTTCAATTGATCTAGTTCACAAAGTAAAGATCATAGACAAACATAGTATGCATACTTGGTGTATGGCATGACTAGTGTTTAAAAACATAGTGTACATGCTTGGAGCATGGGACAACTATTGTTTTAAATTCAAGAATAAAGTTGATAGCTGAAACAGTATACAATGAATAATGTGTAATCATATGGTGATAAATAAAAGGTGTTTTATTTATATTCATAAGTTCTGAGACCATATTGGATTCAATTATTATTGTGTTTCACTTTGCATGTTTTGACTTCCCGAATAAACTAGGTTATTCTTCCGGAATGACTAAGTTATTCAAACCATCCACAGTCGGTCATATGTTGGAAGTAGATATGAATTAAGACTGTCATGGGTTGGCTTGTAGAGGTCTAAGGTGTTGGACAAATGGCTACAACACTCATGAGTGCTCATAAGTTCTGAGTATTGGATTCAACCCGCGCTCATTGGAATCACTTCATGGATTTTATCACGAGTGATCATGAGACGATAATATCTTATATTCTTCAAACCTAGAGATATGAGTTGTTACTATGAGTTGGTAGTACATTGATTGCACGAAACCGCATTTGGTAACTCGGTGCTATAAAACGTGCCTTTGTGTATGATTCAACAAGTAGTAGAACAAGCCATATGAGTCGAAGTTTATCCATTCCTTTTACCTTCGGGATAAAAGCGATATCTGTGGGCCCCTCGATGATTTGATGATGACAAATGGAAGTGCTCGGCCGGGCCAGGACTGATTTGATTTGTTCAATTAGTCAGTCGTCATAAATCGGAAATCGGGAAACAACAAATGGACAGAGAGAATGATTATAATCCATGTCTCAGTCCATATGATATCTAGAATGGAGGAATATATGATCCCTTATCTAATGGACAAGTCATTGACAAAGGTCAGAGTTCATCTACAAGGTCAGAGTTCGACAGAAGCTTTTGAGAGCTACGATTGCCAGTTGGTTCCTGAAGTCATACGCAATAATAGTTTTAGACTTATCCAAGTGGGAGACTGTTGGATTAATGTCTAAGTCCATAACTATAATTGGTAAGACTTGACCCGACCCGGCATGGTCCATTTGGGTTGCATACCATCATGCACTTGGATAGACTAAATGAGAGAAATAAACACTTATGGTTATTAATATATTATAAGTTCTAGTATATTAATAATAAGAATAATGAGATTATTTAATTAGTATTGATCAAGAATTAATCTAGATTAATTGAGTGATCAAAAGAAGACTAATTAAATATATGGGTTGATTGTGTAAATCATCCATACTTGTATAGTGGGCTAATGCTCCATGGATTATCTAGTTGGGCCAAAACCCATATGATGCTCCATGGATGCTCCATGGTGTATTTGAACCCATGGATCCAAGGAAATGGAAAGTCATGACAATTAGGGTTTACCCTAATTGTATAACTATATAAGCATCTTATTCTTGAGGAAAATCGGCCACTAGAGAGACTATTATTATTTCTAGAGAGGGCTAGCCGATTTCATGAAGTGTAGAATTCTCTCTAAGTTATTCTAAGTGTTTTGATGATTGTGAACCATTTGAGGTGTCACACTTGGGGCACTAGGCACTCAAGCTTCATGAAGACAAGCACCATCAAAGAGGTATGTATTCTATCTTGTTATATTGATAGTTTTGTATGCTAGTTTAGGATAATACCTTGGATATTCATATTTGCATGTATAATAGAGAAAACATAGATCCAAGGTATTTAAGGTTGCATGTACACTTAGGAGTGTTAGAATGCTCATAACCCAACAAGATATGCATAACTGGTAAGGGGAGAGAGAGTGGTAAAGGGAGAGAGAGAGAGAGAGAGAGAGAGAGAAATGTGATATGATATGATTTTAGTCTTTTCGGTCTGAAAGTAAACAAACAAGCAACTTATAGACACATGACCGACAATACATATTAGTATTTATAATGTTAATAATAAAAAATGAGAAATTTATAAATTTAGCTTAAATTTTACATCAAATTTTATAAAATAGCAAAAAATTAGTGTTTTTCAAAAATAATCACTAAATTGCAAGTGATTAGCCACGCCTATGATTTTATACCTCCTAGCGGAGATTTCTATCACTAGGGTTGTGATTTGGGCCCATTTTCGGCCGCTGCAATTGTATATATCCTAATTTTTCAAGGTAACCTTTATTTATTTTTTTTGTTTTGTCATACATGTTGCATAGATAAATAATATTTTATTCTGGGTTAAAATAGGAAACATTTCATAACTTTTTCTAGTTGTAAATAAGGGATCATTTTGTTTACTCTCACCATCGATGTGGAATGTAGACATTTTAATAAAATCATTTCTTTATTTGTCAATAATTATATTTTGTTAGTAAATAAAATAAACAAATAAACGTTATCCAAATATTTTATTGTTCAATAATTTCATTTTTCAATAATCCCATAAGTTGGTATCCAAAAAAAGTAAGTGTTTATTGAATAACTTTTTTATTAAATCTCAAAATCATAAATCCAGTAAAACTACGTAATGTAGAAAGTTCGTTTATATGTATTTTCATGATTCAAAAATTCACTATAAAATGAATTTATTTATAAAATATAATCAAATATACATTATGTGCTTATGAATCAAAAGGATTTTTCAAACCATAATAATTTTATGTTTGGTTAGATGTTTTTGTTATCAATTAAATAATAATTTCAAACTAAATTAATAAGTTTATCTTAAATATTATCATTATATAAACATATGATAATATTATCATATAAACATCTTTTATAAGGATGGTACTCAAAATTGTATTTGTTTATGTGTTATTTCTTAAAATGGTTATGTTATTGATGCTAACATTAACATTGACATTATAATTTTTACACTAAAGTTTATATACATAAAAAATAAAGTCAAGCACCATAGCTACAAAACATAAGTGTTTGGAGCAAAAATCACCATTCCTACACTAGATTTGTGTCAAAACTAACAAATGTTGGTCATGGACTTGTTCATTTTGTTTCTTAGGTTGGAGGTCTCAGATTCTAATCTATGTATTGGAATTCTATTAACTTGGAAATACTAACTTTCAACCATTAACCAACCCTTCAACCCAAAAAAAAAAAAAAAAGAACTTGCAAGTGTTGCATGTTCCTTTTCGCTATTGAAGAACAATATTGATGACTTTGTTTTATTATTGATGATCCCCATCTTTATGAACTTCATTTTTCCCTATTATATTTCTTGGATATAACCCTTCAACTTTGACCAGTGGCTAACAAGGGACTCTGATGCAACAATTGCATCAAGGGAACATTGTGTTGCATAGGTCGAGCTCAACTTGTGTTGAATCCTAAAGTCTGCTCATAAAATAGAGAATAGAGTCATGATCTGACAATTCATCAAGCTCAAGTACCATTTTTACTACCAAAGCGTTCATGAACTTACTTTGTAAGCCATCAAGCTCTTTAGACATAGTCTTTATCCTATTCTCAAATTAATTACAAAGGTCATCAATCATTGACTCAGTTGTCATGGAAACCATGACATTCTCTTATGTAATCAATTTGATAGTTTCCTCCTCGTCCATATGTACATTTGTTAGATGATTCCAAAAATGTCTCAAATCACTTTTAGATTTATGAATGGTTCTTTAAGGGGATTCACATACTTCCCCATTGTTACCTTGGTGACAATTCCACCTTCTTCCATCGTGCAAACCTTCCTCCAAACGTTTAAAGTCTGAACTAGGATACACCATTACTCACGAGGCTAAATTTCTAATTTGTGCGATACTTGACCATCTGGTGTAAGTGTGCAACACTATGGTGGCATACTTGAGGTTAAATATACAAGAAAGCAATTGTAACACTTAAAAATGTAATACCATAGTTATAGATCTCAAACGGGCCAAGTGAGTAAAAATGAAGAGGGATAGCCTATGAATAGACAATATATCAAGGGACACATTCTAGAATATATTAGGAAACCAAAGACATGTCTAGACTCTATATGACTCTCAAGTGATGTGTGGGCTTAGCCACCTTGGATCGGGCCATGAACTTTGGGCAACTTTGGGCAGTAGCAATAGACATTGTATATAAAATTGAGGCATCGTAAATTGTAATCACAAAGTTAGAATTTTCCACAGTCCATACTAAAACATAGCTTGAAAAGAAACTTCTCCAAAAACAAATTTCTTATCTCCGTGTGTCTATAATTATTCATTTGCATAATACAACAAATACTATATGTTCCTTGTGCTTCATTTATGCACGTCTATATTCATCTCCACAGTCACCAATCACTCTCATTAAATCTTTTCCCTTGCTTATCACTTCCCTAATGCTGCTGACATCTTCTTCATCAAGTTTAAGTGAAAACACAGCACTACAGTCCTTAATATGTTCAGATAACCCAAGCCTAACACCAACCATTGACCCCGCTACACTCGGCTGTAAATGTAATCCCATGAAATAAACCAATAAAAAAATAAAAGCAATATCTTTATCTGATGAAATTAATTAAATAAAGAAAAGAAAAGTAAGTTTACCTGATCTAATACAAACTTCACAGCAACAGTTGGAATTGTGACTCCATGTTTCAATGCCACTTGATTTAGTGTCTTGAGCAGAGCTTGAAACAGACTCCATCCACCCCATGCATCAACCATCTGGTATTATATTGTATTGAAAGTTGAAACACCATTAGCCATTAAAAAAAAAAGATTATCCTTTTTTTTTATATATATAATTTGGTGTTTATATTTGTAACATACCCTTTTGTATTTTTGAAGAGAAGGAGTGTTGAGTGGAGGTCCAGCAAATGGAATTGACAAATTGGTATCTAGAAACTTCTCAGATAATAATCCTCCCATCACTGTTCCATATCTGCAACACAAACACATCATTAGTCTATACACCATTGTGTGTGTGTGTGTGTGAGAGAGAGAGAGAGAGAGAGAGAGAGAGAGAGAGACGTTATAAGTTTTACTCCGGTGAGCTGGCAGAGTTCTGCCATTTTTTGTTGAGGTCGCATGTCCACAAGTGAATGTTGAACCTGATAATAGTAACAAATACACATAATAATACTAATTAGTAGTAAATATATGATGGAATTAAAAAAAAAAAAAAAAAAAAGGTGTACTTGAATACATATATTCAAATTATATTACCTGATTGCTAACAATTGGAATCCCGTTTTCCAGAATAATTTGTAACCTCTCTGTATCAAAGTTAGTCAAAGCTACAGTCTTGATCTTACCTGTAAACCAGAAGATGAAGTTATCCAGTCTTGTATCAAGAGCTTAATCAAACGAATAAGACAATTAATAATGAACAAGTCACAAGCCAAACCTTCATCTTTCAAATCTGTAAGGTGTTTAAGGGCATCAAGATAGCCATTATTAGAGTAATCCCACCTGGTACACACGTTTCATATTTTAAATCAAGAACACATTTTTAATGAATTTGAAAGAATCAAGAGAGGATGGAATAGATACCAATGAAACTGAAGCATGTCCAAGGAGGCAACATCCATTCTTTTGCGGGAAATATCAATGTTTTTCCGGACATAACTGCTTGTCATTTTAACTGGGGGTGGGACCCACTTGGTTAAACTGCATATCAGTGTAGGGAATGTAAGATCATTAAGGAAGGATCAAGTCATTAAACACCATGTGTCCAACAATAGTAAGCAAGTATAAGTGGATAACAATTAACAAACCCTTTGACATTTTCTAAAAACTCAGGTGGGCGTTCTCTGCGAACACGATTAATGAATATGCCATAAAGATCTTCTGCAGGCCCATCTGCCATATAAAAAGATAGTTGTAATCCAGAAAATTATAGTTATGCAAAACTAATAGAAAGAAGTAGGCAAAAATAGAGCATAACGAGATTATAATGAACAATAAATTGTTACATATATCAGCCATATCAAAGGTGGAAAAGCCAGCATCAGCATACTTGAGCATGGCATCAATGGCATTGTCCCTGTCAATTTTGCCCCATCCACCACTAGTTTGCCACATTCCATTAACTACACGGCAAATTTCTAAAGAATCTTTCCCATTCTTAACCACAGATACTTTTTTATCTTCTGTTAACACACAATGGACTGTTCTTGAGATTGATTTTCGAGTTTCAAATCCTCTATTGAACTTTGGTTTGATTGAATTCAAGGTGAAGTGAGTAAACGAGTGGTTTAACAGCTCTGTCATTTCGAAGAATGGAAAGAGGTAGCAGGAAAAATAATAACAACTGGTATGTGCGATGTGAGAAAGAAGTTGGGATAAATTGTAACAAAAAGATAAATCTTGGGGATGAGAATTGTTGATCGAGATGGTGCCACGTGGCTACTTTCAAAACACTCGCCTATCTGCTCTTTCGTTAGGGAAAGTACAGTAAATCAAACTTTTTGGACACCGAGAGGAGGAGAAATTTCACTCGAACAGATTAGAAATTCAATTCCGTTGTAGAAATCAATGTGGTAATGAAACTAAATCGCAATTAGATTCATCGTATACAAGGTAATAAAAACTAGGGTTTCAATGTAAAGTGAGATGGAATTCATGGATTTTACAGTGATCAGCCATGTCGAAGGTGGACAGACCAGCATCGGCGTACTTGAGCATAGCGTCAACGGCACCATCACGGTCGATTCTGCCCCAACCGCCACTTGTTTGCCACATTCCGTTAAGTACTCTGCATATCTCCAGCGAATCATTCCCGTTCTTAACGGTGGTCACCAGCGGCTTCCGATTTCCGGCTGCGACTCCAACCGCCTCACACCGGACTTCACTCTTCCTTCCTCCAGTTCCGACGGTACGGCGAGAGTCCAGACTTCTCTGAACGTGAGGTTTGGAGGAGCCTAGACTGCTGAGATTGTAGAACGTACGCGTTAAAGTGGCTGAGGCCATTTCTCTGTTGGGCAAAGAATTTGGATGGATGCAGTCAAGCAGAACACAGGGGGAGAAGATAACGTTAATTTGGCGCCCGATGCCACCAAAAAATTGAGTTTCTTGACTTTGCGAGGTCCAGTATTTAGTAAAAAAAAAAAAAAAAATCTTATAAAAGGATAGATAACCAGTTTTTATCTTGTATTCAGCTGTGTGATCCATGTATAAGGAAAAAAATATTTAATTATTAAAATTAAAGTTTTTATTTATCTTTTAAATTTAAGCTAATAATTTAAATAAATAAAAAATTAAAATAACTTGATTCAATTTAAAAATTTAAAAACTATAGGAAAGTTGTATTAATGAATTTGATATATATATATATATATATATATATATATATATATATATATATATATATATATATATATATATTATATTGATTATTTTGAATTATATGATAATATATATACATCTATTATAACTGTATAATTTCAACCGTTTGAATGATTTTTACCCGCGAGTTACTCATGAATAAAATTAAATATAATATATGGTTTAATGTTATTTATAGTTATTGTTATTGTTAATTTATTTTTTCAAATTTATTTGTTAAAACATTTTAATTTCTATCATTATAATTATTTAAAACATCAAACATTGTTTTTTGATTTTAAAGGTAATAATATAATCATTTATATAGAGTTATATTTAACTATTATTATTATAAGTTATTTTAAGCTACTTATTTGAAAACTTTTAACGATTATACAAATATATTTAAGAAATATTTTAGTTAATTTGAGTTTATAATTCAGTTTTTGCATTTAACACTATAATTTATCACTTTTAACTATTCAAAAAATATTCATTGGGTTTTTTTAAGTGGAGCTTAAATTTATATTTAAGTTGACACTGAAATGTTATATTTAAATTAAAAATTTAAGTATTTTGTTCAAACTGTTCAAAAATTGTAGCTTTAAATTGATAATGGTTTACATACAACAACTTAATCTAATAAATTAAGTATAATCTGTTAAAAATTAAAGACATAACTTTATAAGTAGAAGTAAATATGTTATTTTAATATTGAAATTTAGTTTATTTATGATTACACTTTTTGTTTGATATTTATTTAACATTATTAACAAACTTATAATCATTATTAGAAATACACTACAATTTATCATTTTTAACTATTTATAAAATATTATTTGGTTTATTTAAGTTAAACTAAAATTTATATTTAAGTTGATCATGTAATGTTATACTTAAATTTACAATTTAAGTATTTTATGCAAGTTATTCAAAAGTTGTAGCTTTAAAATGATAATGGTTTACACCCAACAATATATTAAAACTAATAAATCAAGTATAACATGTTAAAAGTTAATAAAACATAACTTTATAAATAGAAGTAAATATATTCTTTTAATGTTGAAATTTAGTTTGTATATGATTACACTTTATGTTTGATATTTCTTCAATCTTATTAACCAACTTATAATCATTATTAAGAAGAAATTGAAAAGTCATGGTAGTTTCAAATGAAAGTGGTGAAAGGAAAAATGCATGGGAGTTTCAAATGAATGTGGTGAAAGGAAAAATACTAGCTTTATAACGCGTTGCGTAGAAACACCTATATACTTAAAATCTTTACTAATATATGCTTTTTTTTTAAATATAACAATAACGTTGTTGTTAAATTTGATATAATAATTCGTATATTAAATTGATATGATATATTGATTATTTTGAATTAAATTATAATATATATATATATATATATATATATATATATATATATATATATTATAACTGTATAATCTCAACCATTTTGAATTTCTTCCACCTGCGAGTTACTCATGAATAAAAATAAATATAATAATGTTATTTATAGTTTTTGTTATTGTTAATTAATTTTTTAAATTTTATTTTCTTAACGTTTTAATTTCTATCATTATAATTATTTAAAACATCAGACAATGTTTTTTTATTTTAAAGGTAACAATATAATAATTTACATAGAGTTAGTTTTAACTATTGTTATTGTAAGTTATTTTAAGCTACTTATTTGAAAACTTTTAACAATTATACAAATATATTTAGAAAATATATTAGTTAAATTAATAATATAATTTAGCTTTTGCATTTAGCTTTAAATTGATAATGGTTTACATACAACAACATATTAAATCTTATAAATTAAGTATAATATATTAAAAGTTAAAGACATAACTTTATAATTATTAGTAAAGATATTATTTTAATATTGAAATTTAGTTTATTTATGATTACACTTTAGGTTTGATATTTATTTAACCTTATTAACCAAATTATAATCATTATTAAAAAGACACTACAATTTATCACTTTTAGCTATTTACAAAATATTATTAGAAGCACATTACAATTTATCACTTTAAGTTTGATATTTATTTAACCTTATTAACCAAATTATAATCATTATTAGAAAGACACTACAATTTATCACTTTTAACTATTACAAAATATTATTTGAGTTGTTTATGTTAATATAAATTTATATTTAAGCTGGTCCTATAATGTTATATTTAAGTTTATAATTTAAATATTTTATACAAATTGTTTAAAAGTTATAACTTTAAAATGATAATTGTTTACATTCAACACTATATTAAAACTAATAAATTAAGTATAAGATGTAAAAAGTTAAAAAAAAACATAACGTTATAAGTAGAAGTAAAAATAATCTTTTAATATTGAAATTTAGTTTATATATGATTACACTTTAGGTTTGATATTTATTTAATTTTATTAACCAACTTATAATCATTATTAGAAATAAATTGAAAAGACATGGGAGTTTCAAATAAATGTGGTGGAAAGAAATATGCATGGGAGTTTCAAATGAATGTGGTGAAAGAAAAAATGTTTCCTTTATAATACAGTATGATATAAATTATTACATTTATTACATTTAAGTATTATATGAAATTTAATAAAAAAAAACACAAAATGACACATGAATATATTTTAATCTAAATATAAATTTATCACAAAATAACATATAACATATTGTATAAGAGGATGATGAAACGACCCAAAAACACGACCCAAAAATTTTCGTTTTTCAATATAATCTAAACCGTAATATAAGTATCATAGCATAAAACATACGCGATGTGTCCCCAAAACATAATAAAATATTGTGCGGAAAACTGTATCATACAACATCAATCCAAAACATCAAAAGACATCCCCAGGATAAAAGCTATGTTGTGGTGTGTGCGATGCTGTCACCCCGAGCTCTTCCCTTTGCTTGCGGAAGTACCTGAAACCAAAACTAAAACTGTAAGCACGAAGCTTAGTGAGTTCCCCCAAAATACCACATACCATACAATAACACATAAACACATATTGGGCCTTGCCCACTGCATCGGGCCGAAGCCTGGAACTGCATCGGACCGAAGTCCGGAACTGCATCGGACCGAAGTCCGGAACTGTCTGGGACCTTGTCCCCTGCATCGGACCGAAGTCCGGAACTAACTGCATCGGACCGAAGTCTGGAACTGACTGGGACCTTGTCCCCTGCATCGGACCGAAGTCCGGAACTAACTGCATCGGACCGGAGTCCGGAACTGACTGGGACCTTGTCCCCTGCATCGGACCGAAGTCCGGAACTAACTGCATCGGACCGAAGTCCGGAACTGACTATCTGAACATGGCATAGCATAACACATCAACTAGCGTAACACATATACGACATGCTACATCGAGCCGTGGCCCGGAACACATAATACTTAACACATAAAACATAGCACACAAATCCTGTTCGAACCACGAAGGCATCGAACATACTAACTACTGCATCGGACCTAAATCCGGAAACTACTGCTAACTGAACGGGCCGGCATTGTGGCCTTAGACCCGTTCCTACTGGAAGGAGACTCACCTCGTAAGCTGGCTGCTGAGTGTGTGGCTCGGGAAGCTAACGGCGGCTGCTCCTGAATCTCCTCGGCTACAAGTCCATAAACACACTCAATCAAATACTAAACACTGCGCTTAGGGTAAAATGACTCTTTTACCCTTGGTCAAGGTCAACTTTCCTTTGGGCTGACTCGCCGAGTTGGGCCACCCAACTCGCCGAGTCCTACTCTCACTTTTCACTTTTACTCACTGCTACTCATCGAGTCTGGCATCGACTCGACGAGTACCCTCTTGATCCAAGAACTCAGACAATCTTCATCCGACTCGCCGAGTCGTATGAACAGACTCGACGAGTTGTTCTTGATCCCAAGAAGATTGCCTTGGACTCGCCGAGTTGATGAACAACTCGCCGAGTCCCTCCATCACTGAGTTCACCCTCAACTCGCTGAGTCCACTCTCTAACTCACCTCGTCCACTCGACACTGATAAAACTGAAGAACTCGGGACTCGCGACCCAACTCGTCGAGTCGTTCTTCCGACTCGCCGAGTTGCCGCCATGCAACTGATTTTTACTCGATTTTGTTTGAATCCAATGCATACAATTGATAGATCTGAGTCCAATAAGCTGATTTACCACGTAAAGTTTCCAACTTTACGTGCACAACCTCATGAATAAGGGAAATAAGGCTAAAAGATGCAAAATGGGTAGATCTATGGTTATCATGCAATATAACTCCAAAAAGACAGTAGATCTGGGCTCTACAACACCCCAACATTCAGATCCATAGCTATTTCGACTTAATAAGACGTTCATGCAAGTGTAAGGCTTGGAACAAGCATCAACTAGCTCTTAGGAGAGCTCTAATGGAAGTTTAAAGCATATAACAAGATGGAACTCCGAAAATACCTCAATTAACTCTGATTTGGCCTTGGATCTTTGCACTACAACACTTCTCCTTGCTTCTTCCTTCTTCTCCTTCTTCACACCTTCACAAAATGGCACCAAAACACATATAAGCTCTTCAAGGGAGGTTTAGGCTCTATCACTGCGTTCTCAGGGTGAGGGAGGCGAGAATGGGGGCTATAAGGTGGTATAAATAGTGGGCAACCCGGGGATTTAGGGTTTCACCCAGACAGATGGACTCGCCGAGTCAGGGATATGGACTCGCCGAGTCCCCGGCTCACGCGTGCCCTCAGGCGCGACCCTACTCGGCGAGTCAGGCTAGAACTCGCCGAGTCCCTCTTGAAAAA